TAATTTCCTTTGACAGGTTGTACTTTACTGCCCACCGTTAGCGGTATTTTCCATAAAAAAATTATTTTACTTTTTTTTTTTTAGAGCTTAACAAAACTGTAGACACTTTGAAGTTGCTGCCAAGTAACCTAGGTGATTCAAACAATTTTGAAATGAGGCAGTGTAACATTTTTTAAATATGCAGGCACACATACAGACCCGCCTACCTTTCATTTTATCAGAAAGTAGAAGTAATTTACATGTTCATTTGAAAGCTTTTTTAAATATGATGACAAGCTGTTAGACCCCATATTATTACTATGCAATCAATTTATTTTTTTACTTGTATCAGCAATAATACTGATGTTTTGACCAATTCTACAGCAAAGCATTATTGCCAGATCACGTGTTTAATGAGAGTTGAATTCCTGTCTTGATGACTAAGTGAAATGCAACCATCATAGTTTGGAATGTTTTTTTTTTTTTATGTCAATGAGATCACATTACTTTTCACTTGTTTTTTTTAATGTAATGACTAATGTTACGGTGGTAGTATACTAACAGTTGTATTTATATTGCGCATTTAAATGCTTGATTATCAGCATTATGGTCAAATTGCAAATGGTAGGCTTTAAGCTAAAACACATTTTATAAATACAGCATGTAAAACTAAAACATGTGCAGTTGGTGAGTTGCGACTGGTAAGATACTGAATTGTTTTGTTATATGAGAGCATTGTATTAGGACATCTGATAAGTTTCTACATCATTGTGTTATACCAGACCAGTGTTTCAGGGTATAAGTAGTAAGCTCATAGACTGTACTGAGATCTTCCAGCCACATCTTCAGATTGTCAGTAAAAATCACCCAACTTGATAAGCTGGTCAGGGTGACTCATGCTGTTTCTCACCACAAGTGACATTCTCAAGCACCTTTATAGTCTTTTTTCCCCTCTATTTGCTGTTTTTTTTCACAGATTTTTGCTTAATTTGTATCTCTTATTGTTTGTTTCCAGGTTCTTCATCGGGACATCCGTTTCTACCTTCTCTTTTCGGATCCACGAAGAAAGAGAAATCCTGGGGTTTGATCCCAAAACCACGTACAACCGATTCTGTGGAGACTCTGAGAAAAAATGTGAACAGCCCACACACTGGAAAATTGTTTATTAACTTTACCTCCACCTTTTCTGAAGCACAAGTGCCAAAAGCAGTATTACGACTGACGGATTTATGAAAAAAGATCTTTTCATGGTTTCAGTGTTAGATGGCCACTGTGTTTGAACTCTGTGCTCAAAAGGCTCAAGCTCTGCTGCTCAACAGTGTAGGCTTCAGAAATTTAATTTGTATATAGCTTTATTTAGATTGATGGTCTGTGAATCTTTCATAAAAGCGTACTGTATTTCATGCATTATATTTCTAACTCACAAGTGCAGTGAATTATGTTAAGTGGAGACTGACACTAGTGTTTGACTGTATTTGATTCAGATTTGATATTATCAAAAATGTTTTTTTTACCGTTTAAGACTTCTGAAGTATTTTAAGAATAATGTATAAAAAAAAAATCAAAAGCACATCAAGAGGAAGGAACCAAAGCTTGCTAGGTGTAAAGGTCTACCATTCAATGAAGATTTGTTTACAGAAAGTGTATATGCATAACTGAAATTCATTTTTTATCAAACGATTAAAGATTTGATATTATGCTTTTATTCTAGGCACATGGTTACATTTTATAGAACTATCAAACAGACATGTTACCTTCAGTTCTAATTTTTTTTAAATGAAAAAATGTTGTATAAATCATGACATCATCATGATATATACATGACAGGACGTCATCACAGAAATACTGAGAAGTAGTTCATAAGATGAGCTTGGCAGATGTGCACTTCTGCCAGGTGATTGCTAATTGCTGCTACTGCTAGTCTGAAGGAACTGAGGGGGACAGGGACCGGGGAGGGATGCTCTGTGAGGTGAAACTTGGCTTGAGACTCCTGCTTCATGAGGAACTTTGTGGAAATAGACGGTTCTTTGTGAGAGCAAGCGCCTAACCACCGCTGAATGGCTGCCATCATAGATAGAACAAAAGATTCAAGGATTTCTTAGAAATGCATAAACAATCAAAGCAAATCAAAGCAGGTATGTTCTTGATGAGGGAATAACATATATAAACCTCAAAAACATTAATTTTACGTACTATCCCCATTTTAAAGGTCAGTCTGAATCCTCACCAGCAGTCTTAGAAAATGACCCTCTTACATAAGGTGTTTCTTAACTACACCTTCACCTTTTAACTACACCTTCACCTTTATGTTTGTGGCTATGAACACCACATGATATTAGCAGGACTGAAAGAAAACTCCATAGTTACCTTGGTGACGAAGTCTCAACCTTTTACAAAGCAATGGCCATACGTAACCTATAGCCCTGTAAGGCACAACAGTGAAGCTTTCTGTTGCTCATGTAGCTAAGCTGCTGTAACCTCTGCTAATAAATGGAAAGAATGTGTTTGTTGTTCGGCCTGCTTGACTGATCCTCTTTCTGGAGCTTTCTTTGACATACAGTAAAAGCTTAGTGCAAACATATCCATAGTTATGTGTCTTTGTATAAGGAAATGTGAAACTTAAACAATTTTTTCCATTCAGCTTTTTATTCTGAACTCTTACCCTTAGTCTTTGTATTATTGTGGACTCTCATTCTAAAACAGCTTTCATCATTTACTAGACAGGGGAATTGCTGGGAAGGAGAAAAAAAAAGTCTCAGGTTTCCCCCATGACTTATCCCAGTGGATTCTCCTAGCTTACAGTGTAACTAATCCCAGTGGAGAATTATACCTTCTCAACAACAGCTTACAAAATGATTGTGTGTATTTGATGCTGCCATCCTACCCTATAGCTCCAAGACTATGTTGTGGCAGCCTGGTTAAATCCAGCCCCTTGTCCTACTCTGTTTGCTTCATACAGAAGCTCTTGGCTGTTGAGAAACGATTGCAAATGTAATGTACCAGTTCGATCTTCAGAAGTTTAACGGAAATTGTCTGCAGTGTAAACAGCTGCCCTCCACTGCAAAAAGAAGCATGGCCAACACAAACTGAACCACTTCGTTCACTTCCTCCGCTGCTGTGGCTGAAACTACAGGCGGACTACAATAATAAAAACAGCACAGAAAATTCATGTAATTGTTCACAACTTTTCCTCCTGTTCACTAATTAGCCTCGTAAAGAAAATCTACAGGAGACAATCCAAGTCAAGGGGAGAAAGCTCAAAATGTGCTGCAAGTGAGAATTTTTTTTTCAAGTGGAATTGCACAGGAAAGCAATGGCCATGCTAATGTTGATATATTTAATGATATCTTTCTCTTTATGAAATCCCACAAATTCTCTGTGGTATCAATTCCCAGATTATTTAAGCAAGAAGTGATGCTATTGGCATTATGAGCAGGTTCCAAGTCGTGTTGGCAAATTAAGTAAGCATCTCCATAAAGCAACCTGTACTGGCTTTTATCACAGCCAACACCAGCAATTAACATGACTTCACAAATCATTTCTATAAACTATGGACATTTATTCTTGTACCTCAAGTAAATTAATTCTGTGGCTGCAAAGATTCAATTTCTGCATTAAAAATATTTTTGCATTTACTAATTTTATGTAAAATTTATTTTACATGAAACCATTTTTATTTTTTCTGACAAAAAATGTAAGCCGTTTTTCACATGGATTTCCAAACTTAAAAATTTGGCCTACTTTTTTTGGTATACAATCATGTTCAATTTGAATATTCATTCTGGTGAGGCTCGATTAACACAGGTTGAAGATACCATTTGAAAATGACAACCTACGTGCAGATATGAAACGTGCTTTTCATAAAGCCCTCATTCCTGTATTAAAACAGATTTTGTTATGTATATTATGTAATATTCTACTCTAAAATGTCAAGTTTTCATTAGCTGTAAGTTAAGGCTCGTCATAGTGAACAGAAATAAAGGGTTAATGAATTAAGTTACTGAAAAAAATGTGCCTCTTAATGATATTAATTTAATATGACTGTATTTATTTATTTACTTTGATATACCATCTTAATTCTTCAAAAATCTGTTAAGACAAGTTAATTCTTGTTAAAAATAATAACAGTGTAGTTACACCTTGCTTTACATTATCTGTGACGCCTTTTAACCCTCACATAATGATATCAGCATAAAAAACCGGTCTATCTACCTTAATGATGGACGACTTCTTGGTGTTTTGCAAAGCAAAGGTGTCACATGTCCCCTGTAGCCCCACAAGGCCCAACCCTGAGGCTTTCAGTGACTCACGTTGTTGCAGAAGAGCTGAAATGGAAAGAATGTCTTTGTTGCTCAGCTTGCTTGACAGCTGCTCTTTTACCAGACTTACGTAGATAAAACTTCAGAGCAGCGCTATGCTGTTATACAACTTCTGTATAAGGAAACGTGGTTCAACTTACATTACATGCTTTCCATTTTGTTTTTCTTTTTTCTGAAATCCTGCCCTTTTTCTTTACATAGCTGGCTACTCCATTTCTAAAAGCTTTCTTCCTTTTGTCAGTCACTTTACAATGATTTAGTGTTTGTGTATCTTGTTTCTCAGCTATTAAGGAGAAATGATTTATCCCAGTGGATTCTTCCTGTGATAATGTGTGACTAATTCCTCTGGAGAATTTTACTGCCTCAACAACAGCCTACAAAATGATTGGGCGTAACTTGATGCTTTTGTGCCACTTTGGACTGTGTAGAATAATAGCATGATTGTACACATCACACATCTCCTTTCCCATGAATCTGTTTTACCCATAGGCTTATGAATTATTCTTTTTTTCTAATTATTGCTTATATACATGTTATAAGGTGTTCTATAAATCTACAACATACAATTCCGTGATTTTAAATGTAAACAAGTTCTTAAAAGCTACTCTACTTGTTCTGTGTTTCTAACTATGTCTATTTGTTCAAGGAAGTAATGCAGGATTTTTCTTTCATTATTTAGAACACAGCAAGAGTACACACCCTTTCACAGATCCACTGGCACAAAGGAGGTGCTTGTCATTCTCAGGACAACTAAGAGCGTTTAATGAAGTGAGGATTGATACGGCTGCAGGCACTGCGGAGTCACGGAGGGAACGTTTTGGGTTCTGAGCTTTAGATTTGACCTGTTTTGAGGGAAATTTTTTCTCAGTTTACTTTAGGGAACGACTGATGGAAAGGGCAGCTTGCTAGGGGGTCATCTCCTGCAGCAAGATGTCCTTATTAATGAGCCCGTGGACTTCACACAGATAGCAAACAATTTAACTGATTTACAAGGACAACAGTGCTCAGGTGGGTCAAAACTCTATTTTTACAATAAGTTGGATTATTAAGCAATAGCATATAAATGTTTAGCACATGGGTGAATTCTAAATGCTGATTTAAAAAAGAAGAAAACAAAAAGAGTTCACTTTCTTTTCATTTATTTGTTTTTGCTGTGAACAGAGCTATGTCACTTTTTGTATAAGAGCTGTGGTTTGCTTATCTCATTCTTAATTATGTTTAACTACTTTAAAATTACTTTGTTGCTTTTGTTGAACATTTGTTTTCCTTGAAGATGTCTGGAAAATGCTTATGTCAATTTAACTGTTTTTCCACTCATATTATTTGTTACTTTTAAAGAAGACTAGGTACAGTGATACCTAGTGGCCATGACCACATAAAAGACTAAACCGTTTGAAGAAAACATTTTATTACATGCCATTGCATTTGCTTTTGTGCTTAAAAGTAACCCGTCAATAAAATACAGTTTAAATGAAATGAAGAAAAGTTTCACACCCCTGGTATTTTGGAAAACCATTTCCAGAATTGTTGATTAGCTTCCTGGTTGTTTACATTGGTATGTATCTAATACAATTGTATAATTGCATTGATGTCATGTCCACCTTGACATCACCCTTAATTTGAGCTCCCCTCTATCGTGTGGCAGTCAGTAATGACTACCACACTAGGACCTTCAAAACGCCTTCAACATACCCTAAAGGGATTGTTCTAAAGGTACTGGAAGTCTGAAGGAAATTGGTAAAAAGAAACCTTACCAAATGTTCTGTGGATGATTACTGAATGGAGAAAAAGAGGTTACGGAGAGGTCCGTAGAAAATGTCTGGAGAAAACTCTCAAAATATTGTTTGTTTGTTTGTTTGTTTGTTTGTTTGTTTGTTTGTTTGTTTGTTTGTTTGTTTGTTTTTGTCCTAAAATAAATGCCGGGAAAACACTTCATCATGACATGCTCCTTGGCAAGGTCTGACTCTTAGAAAAAAAATCACATGACATTTTTTGAACATTTAGAAATTAAACTTTTACTGAAATAGGAGTTCTTATAATCCATAAAACTTGCTGTTGTTTATTTGCATTTCTGATGATTTATATGTATTTTGATTCACAAAATACTATAAAACCTAATCTAATTTTATGGGAAATTACATTGTTACTAAAATGTGGTCAATGAGCATTGGCAAATTGTTTCTGAGCTTGAACTTGTAACTTATTTCAGATGTAAATAAAAACAGTATCATCCGCCTCCAGCACTTGTTCCTTCAATAAGGCCTTCTTCAGTTTGTTAATCAAGTAACATTACTCTTCAGACAACAAATAGAAATAAATTACCATAATAACTTATTTGTATTTACCTTTAACTAGAACCAAAATCTCATCTGGGTACCATTAAAACACAGTTTGAAAACCATTTAAATGGCTAATTATGAATATATGCTTTGAATTTCAGTCCTGAAATCATTTATCCATCGTAGTTCTTCAGTATAAATATGTTGTAGCTGAAAACAAAACATCCTGTACCAAGTTTTTCTACTGCTTTCTATAAACTTCAATTTATTTTAGCCTAAAAGTAACAATGGGAATGTCACTGAACCAATGTGTGTTTAACTTTGATTGACTTTTTTAGCCTGCCTGGTCACATGGCGTTCTTCAGACAGCTGAAGCTTCTTCTCTGGAAGAATGGACTGGGCATCATCAGACAGCCGGTGGGTGACTTTTCACTGTAGTGGACGCTTTCACTTAGATATTTACATTAAGACTTAAGCAGGTCTCATGTAACGTTTTGTTGAGGTGTAATTTGGAAATGAACCAACTGATTGCCATTACTGACGCCTACGATGTCATCCTAGCTGTGGTCCATTACGCTGATTGCCTGGCCTTTGATCGTCTTCATCCTCATCGCTGTGACTCGGGACCATTTCCCTCCGATTGTAAGAAACACATGTGAGTATAAAACTGGAGCAAATAAAGTATTTCAGAGGCCCAAGCAAAGCAAATGAAGGTATTGGAAAAGCAAACGTCGTTACATCGAGATCATGTAAAAATTCTAAAGGCAGAGGAATGAATCAATGTTTTATTCTGTTTCTAGCCATTCTTTAAGGTAGATTGCACATATCCACCCCTCACCCCCTAAAAAAGAATAAATAAATAAAATGTATCTTACGTATCTTATATCTCTAATAGCTTTTCAAGTGTTGCTAAACATGTTTATTTGAGAATATTTAAAATAAAACACAGGATTAGTGGACATTTATCTTCTGTCCTGCAAAGTCTTTATGAAGGACTTACTTAAAGTTGAGAAACCAGATTTAAAGTGCGCTTGACTTACTGAGCTGCTATTCAGTGTAGGACTCTGGATTGACATCTTAAAGGTCAGTAGCTTGATGTTTCAGGACTTTCAAGTTTCTCAATCAGAGCAAACAAATGAAGAATTAAACTCAAACACCAACTCCTCTTAAGAATAAAGCTTGCTACACAACTATTGACTTGCCATTTGAATGCTGTTATTTATTTAAAACCTTTGGGTATCTGTAGTTAAGAAAGGAGTGGCACACACACTCCTTTGAGTGTTCACAGTCAAATATTTGTTCATGTTGAGGAAGAAAAAATATCTATTGTTTTGGTTAATAGGTATTGAAATAGTCCCAGCTTTAAAAAAAAAAAAAAAAAAAAGACATTCTTGATAGCAATGGTGGTGATGAAGTAAACTGCATGCTTCAATTTATCAGTGTTCATCTACATTGTAAAAGAACAGATACAAAGACTGCTTTCATATCTATTTATGAATACATAGTTTTTGGCTTTCATGAGTTTTTCATTTTCTTCAATTAACTTCTTTTGCCAACACTTTATTTACTCAGTAAAACTGGGCACATAAAGGCAAATAAAAGCTGTGACGTTTCATGTTTTCATTTCAAGTTTTTCAGAAATCCCTTCGTCTCTCTTCTTTTCTCTGGGTTTGACAGTGACTCACACAATCACTGTGACTGTCACTGAGAAAACACTAAGAGCTACCCAGAATAAATTCCAGGAAAGCATGGTTCCATTAATTTAGTGCTGATAGCTGGTTGACAGTAACTTGATCTTCACAGCCATCACACGGCATTTTCTTTTGTTTTCCATTGTACTAAAGCTGAGATTGTTTTTCTTAACAAAAGGTGGTGCTGGTTTTGCAGTGATTAGGACTAAAAGTGACATAACACCGGCACAATAGACTAAAACTTTTTATCCTTGACATTGTTTCTCATGAAAGGTTCTTTCAAAATGAAACATGAGAAATAAATAACTCCTATAATTTGTTACTGCTATACTTAAAGGTTTTGCTTCTAAACATCCACATCCAACTATAACATTTTTCGAACTCTCTTCTAGGTTATGTTGGACCAAGGAACCTACCAAGCACAGGCTTTTTCCCTTTCCTGCAGACCCTTCTTTGCAACACAGACAGCAAATGCCACAACACATCCCGCCTGGTGCACACATCTTCATCAAAGTCATCAAGAGATCGAAGGTAATCTGTCTGTTACATTATTTTACCTTTACAAATACACTTTGTGTGCTCACCGCAGACTCATCTTTTATAGAAGAAACTGGCTCTGATCCTTTTTCTCTGGCTACAGCTCTTTACTTATTGCTTCTCTTCTTTTTTCTGTTTTATTTTTTTAAGTTGCTTTTCTTATTTGATTGATAAAGTAGAAAAAATAAGTTGCATGCCATTCGTTGGAATGGCATGCAACTTCCTTATGCTGGTGGTAGAAAAACTAGTTTGTGTTGTCGTTCCGGTTGTCTGCATTAAGTTTGAGTCATGCTTTATAAAATGCATAACCTTAGTTTTACCTTAAGGACTGCTCTATAAGCAAACAAAAAATGCTGCTTATCATTACCAATCAATCCTTTTTATTCAGATCCACATATGGTCCATAATAAACAAGAATAAACAGAACAACAAAAGACAATAAAAATAAAATAATCAATAGTCATTGTCATGATATGTTTTTTAGATTTAAGTATGTAGATTCTTGCAAAATCTAGAAAAAAGTACAGTTTAACATTTGAATAGCAAATATTACGCACAATACAGACTAGTATACTCGCTCTTGTTTTATGGCTCAGTGTTTACCCAGCTTGCACAATCCACAGTCCTTCTGCTTCTTCAAAATATTTGTGGTGGACTTTCTGTGATTTGGGATTGTGTAATGGCTGCGTTAACTACCTAATGTAGAGCTGGTGACTATAGCTGTGTTCCCATTACAAATATACGCAAGACTTTGTCAATATTCCACTAATGTTGAAGAAATATCATTTCACACGTGCGCGCGTGAATGGGAATGACTGATTTCACTGTTCTGAAAATCAATATATAACTGATGTCATTTCATTTGATTTTTCGCATCACAGGTCTGCTCCTTTGCCAGATACATCTCCATTGGCAAGTCTGATGCAAGGAAAGGAGTTTTTCAGCCAGGCTTTCCCCAGTGACACTCAAAATGACCCTGCTAAGTTGGTTAAGTTCATGGAAAGCTTTATTGGTATGTTATTACTTACATACACTTATGTTGTACAATTTTTTTTTCTTCTTGTAACAACGAGATTAAATTACTCACGCCGTTGGTTAAGATTTGCTTATACAGGAAAGTAGAAGTCTTTGTAATTTGACTTTATTATTTGGTATTCAGATTATTGTATTGACTTCCATATTCTCCTTGAGTTGAACTGTGGATTTATATTTTAAAGGTTCATCTAACAGAGCCAACTATACAAATGTTCCTTTCATGGTTCCCCTCAACACCTCTCTGCCCGATCAGGTGAGTGTCCGCAAGTTTAATGACAGGAAAATATCTAATTAGAGGACAGATAATGTAATGACCACACAGACTCCAAAACGTCTCTCACTGGCTTGAAAGAGTATAGAATGATTAAAACTTCAGTCAATTCAGTGCGTACAAGTACTAGAGACAATAAAGAGCATTGTTTTTATCACTCTGTAGAAATGTATGAAAACATGGAAAACTAATTGTCTGTTTTTAAGAATTTTATTTGTTCCACTTGATTATAATAAATTGATTCAAAGTTTAACATCGATGTAAGTGAATCGAATACCTATTTGCTGTTGTAAATTCCAACCTGGGTCTTGCAGGAAACCATGAACGCAATTATGGAGTCAGTGAACATTTTTAAGAAAGCCATCTGCACTGTTACACTTCCTTGGATGAACCAAACCTCACCCAACCCAGTCACCCATGCCATGGTAACTTTCTGCAACTCCAACAACACTGTGTTAGAAGCCTCACTTCAAACACTGAACAAGGTACGTGAAAGGTTTGTCATTTAGACCAAATGGCCTTTTAATTTCATGCAAAAACTAAAAATGATGATCTGTTCTTTCAGTCCCTTTTGAAATTAATAGATTAATGGCTCTTCTAACCAGTTTTGCATAGCAGTTCAGATGTTTTCCTTTGCTCTCAGGTACTAACAGAGCTAATGGTAACCGATCCGGATGACATACTAATGCTGGCAGGAGGGACAGTGATGTTTTTCGATCAGCTGCAAAATGAGACATCAATGTGGGAAACCCTCCTAGGCTTCCCCAAGCTCTTCTCTGCCAGTTCTCTTGAAGACATGCTGAACAACACACAAACCTTACTCACAAACATGAAGAGGTAATATAATTTTACTGATGTAAAAGCACAGAAACTTGATTTTGCAGATATGCACTGGATATGTGCACTGGTTCATTGGTTGCCTGTTGTACTCACAGTTTTGTATTTTCTTGTTCTTTCTTTAGCTTTTTGCGTTTCATCCAGAAGACCTTCCCTGACTCTGCTGACTTCATCTGCAAGGTACACCCAGTGCTTGAAGAAAGCTTTGACGTCATCCAGTATGTCCAGAACTGGCCCGGACAAGGTAACTGTAAAACACATATTCTATTTGAATATGTAAGAGAATGCCATCTCTTGCTGTTTTAATAATGCTTTAAAAAGAAGCCGTGGAAATGTTTTTGAACTGTCGTGCTAATGTGAGATTTAAATCTCTTTAGATGTTTCGATAACCCTTGGAGACATTGTCACATTAAGGAGTGACTCAGTCAGTGACATTGTGAGACGAATCCTACAGGAGGTTCACATACCACTGCACCAGGTAAACTCAGCACCAGTGACTACAGGCACAGGGTTACCAATATGGCCTAAACACCCATTCCTCCAGCTTTTACCCCCAAGTGACAATTAAGCAACCCATTTACAAGAGCAAGAAGACTTTAAATTTGCAGTGCAGGTTTTGCCAAATCTTCACTGTCTGGGTGGGGGAGGGTGGGAGGGGTTTGTTATGTCACTCATCACTGATTAAAACAAATAATGAATGCAATAAACTGTCCTCCCTTTTCTAGGCTGTAGGGCTGATGTGGGACAAAGACATGGTGCGCTCTCACTTGTGCTGCAACAGCAGCAACACGATGTGGTTAACAGCAGCATGCAGCACAGGCACCGTGGATATGCTCCTGAGTTGGATTTGTCCTGACAAAGTGGCAAAAGAGGTAGGGTGTTATTTTAAATTAGTATTTATCCAGTTGCTGAATGTTTTTTCTGCGTCCTCTCTTTTTGTTGCTGTGTCATGTTGCTAAATATACCCAGTGGAATGTAAAAAAAAAAAAAAACTTGCAACTCCGGTTCTGGCACTAACAGACCAGGAACCTTGAGTACTTCTAATTAGAAGTTAATTAGAGGTCATGGGAATATGCATGTGTGCAAGACGGTAGCGAACACGTCTTATATTTTATTAATCTTAAGCTGTTATAAGTAATTATGTGCACAGATTGCTTCCACCAAGTCACACTAGGTTATTTCACCACTTTCCTCAGCTTTTGAGCAGAAAATAAAAACATCTGCTTTATTTTCAGGTTTGTTACAGTCAGACTGGGCATCAGGTTTTTTTATTTATTTATTTTTTATTAAATCTCTCTTTGTCTAATGCAAAGCCCACAGTTCAGTAATAACGCCAGCCGGCCTGCTCCTATTTTACTGCCATGAGTAACAGTTGACACAATGATCGGTAGCATCTCTCACGTCAATCAAATTTGTAGCAATTATTTTAATTATAGACTATGCTACCAACAGCTGCAAAGACTGAACTTCCAGGTGATGTTATCATCTTTGCAAGCCTGACCGATCTGAGCTGAAAACAGGAATGGTGTCAGTGGTGTGTCCTACCTTGAGTAGGTGGAACAGAACTGTAATTTATGGCTTTGATCTTAGAAAAACATGTATTTATGGGTGTTTCCAGCGTTTTACTTTTCTATTCACTTTTACCTTTACACTTCTCACGTGTCCTTCTTTTAACTTCCCTAATTACTTAACCTTGATATATTTTTACTTTATGTCCATCTGATGTCCAGCAAAAATGAGCTCATTTGATGTGTATATCTGATGTAACACATGCTCTAAGTGTGGTAGAAAATGGAATAGATGCTCATAGATTTTAGTTTTTTTTTAGTTTTTTTTGTTCTTCCCATCCTGTACTTATCACAAATGTTGCTCGACTAATTTGTCTTTTTGGAGAAACTGAAGATTAAAGCAGAAGCTTAATGTGGAATTGTTCACTTAAAAAAGTATGTGTAGGATTTCCTCTTCCGATAATGAACTTTATTTTAAAAGGGCCAATGTCCAACTCAAACATAAATGTCACCATTTGGTGTACTGTACCAGATTATAGAGGAAGCTATTTTGCATCTGCAGTCGCTTGACAAGTCACGGACATTTTGTGAAATTTATAACCCTAGGTTTTCCTGGCATGGACCAAGCATGTGGCGGCAGATGATGTGTCCTTTGTGAGACAACTGGTGCAAAGTCTCATGGGAGGTTCATCGTCATGGAAACAGGAAGTCTCCAGGTCAAAGCGCAGCATAGGTGCAGAACCACAAAGTGACGAGGCAGAGCTGTAAGTACAGGGACATGTCTTCTTTACATGCAGCCGTTTATTTCAAGATTCATAAATTATTTTCAAATTTTGGTCATTTAGTTAAGTTAAAGAAACTGTTAATTTCCCCCTCAGTAATGAGTCTGACTTTTTGCTTTGGTAGGTTTATGGGAGTCGCTCAAGTGCTGCTGGAGATTGCAAAAATTCATCCTGATTTGGACAATGTTGTTCAGAGAGCTCTCAAAACCAGCTTCCACTCCATGAAGGCAGCAAGGGTGACTTTGGTCACTGTAGAAAGTAAGACTGCAAGCAAAATATTTTTATAGCAAATCAGGTGCTATAGGACAGCATTGTCACGTTTTTTTTGTTTGTTTGTTTTTTTAAAATACCACACACTTCAACATTTACTGTTGTATGATGATACATTCAGTTTTACCAGGGCGTAACAATTGGTGGGGTTTTCTTTTAGCCCAATTGCTTTTTCTTTAAAAAAAAAAAAAAAGAAAAAGAAAATGCATGTCTTTTTTTCTCTCTAAGACATAAGAGAGGAAAAAATCTGCAGCAGTTTCTATTATAGAAGTAGAACTTTGAAATCCAAAGGAATGTGAAACAAGTTTAAGATTATCCCAAATTCTTAATTTAACTGTGATACACAAAGCTTTTTAGACTTTCATTAAACACCGACGAAGTGAAAACTGACTAGTTCCAATGAGTAAAAGATTAACACACCTATTATAATAATGACAACCGTTCTGATTGACTTGTACATCTCTGAATGGTATGTATACTTTCTGTGTTAAGAAACTGAGAGCTGAATAATACAAGGGTACACTTGAATATGGAAATGTATATTTTATTATCCGATTTTTAAGCATAAGATAACACTTTTCCATTGAACACATTATCAGCCAGTCCGTGGTTTGTCTCATCGTTATATATTTGTTGCTTATACTTACAGAAGTGATGAGCAATGCCCTGGAAGACGCACAAAATCTCCAAATGACCTACCACATGCTGCAGAAGAACCAGTCTGAGGCAACAACTTGGTTTAGCCGGGTAATAGACAGTGTGGTGGAAGTCATTGAGGAGGTAGGGTTATTTTATTTTAATTCAACATAGTTTGCTCTTATGCTAAATAAATGTAAATTAATCAATATACATTGTATCTATTCTTATGTCTTACTCAGGTTTATGAAGCCTGTAGTTTGTCTAACAACACTTTCAGCTGATATTCTTTTCCTCAGTAGATATGATAGCTACCAGTCACACAACATTGGGAATATATACCTTGCAACAGACTTTTCTTGTATTTTTTAAGGCGGTGGAGTGTGAGGAGTGTGAGGAACTTTTTGAGCCCTTCGAGTGGCTGCTGTCCTCCAAGACTGTAAAGATAGAAGTGTGGAAGTCTATGTTCTGCCAAAACATCCCTGCACTGAAGCATGCTTTGCTGATGGACTGGAATCCTGTAGTGCAAAAGGTATAAGTCACTCAATATTTTTAGAAACCTCTATAAAGGATTTGCATCATTTTTTTTTTAATTAAATTCTCACAATTTGAGAAAAGTGTGTTAAATGTGCTTCTTATTGTGTAATTCCTATTCTTATTTTGAATCTTGTTTGAAAATGTCATATTTTACCTTCAGGCAGAAGAAGTGTACTGCATCCTCACAGGCCGAGCAGACTTTAACCTGACACTTCCCATGATGCTCTCTGAGTGGAACAACTTGTTCAACGCCAGCATGCAATTTGGAGAATTTCTGCAGAGATTCATAACCCATCTGGATCGAGACTACTGGTTGAACTGGATCCCTGGCCACCACACACATGACTTCAAGGAGACACTTCAACAAAGGTTTTACAATGTCTTTTCAGTGCACGTTCGGGACTTCTTTTTTTTTTTTTTTTTAGTTGCTCTAAAAATAAAGCAGTTCAGAATATTATTTAGGCTATTAAATTACAATGACCATGAGCTGGAATTGTTTCCAACTCACAAATTTACAAGTCATATTGATATAGCTCCAAAAACAAGACCTGTGGAAAGTTGTGGCACAACTTTCCATGACGGTGTTACAAATAAAGAATGCACTTCCACTTTCAAGCTGAACAAGCCTTTGGTTTTGTTTTTTATGCAGTCTCATCATGTCATTGGAAAACCTGGGAGAAGAGCTCGAGGAGAGTGATTTGTGGCCCAGCATGAAGGATTACTTCCACATCACTTACTGGATTTTGAACTACAGACCTGGTGTTGAAAAAGACCCACCAAACTGTGAGTGCAGCTGCTTTTCTTTTGTTTCTCTTCTGTCATCAAAAAGCTAGATGAAGGTCTTTAAAAAATAAACAGACACCATTTCACTATGTGTCCTGTTCACAAATATCGATTGAGTCACTAAAAAGAGCTCAGTAAAACGTTCTCTACAAAAGCAGAAGAATTTGGTTGAATAACATAAAATCATTCTTAGTTTAACCGAACATTGTTTCCTAGGAGATCTGGAAAGTTGCTCAATCGTTTTCCACTTCTCTTTCTTTATAAACAAATATCAATGTACTTGTCAGCTCATTCTTTTGGATGTTGACTTTTAGCAGCTCTACATTGTAGGTAATTAGATTTTTTTTTTAGCTACATTTAAAATAACTAATACCATTGGGATTCATTTTTTGGGATATCACATAGGCAGTCCGAGCACCACCAATGGTACTTGTACCATATTTTTTAAAAACCGTAGCAATCGGGTATCAGTCAACGCTTCTAATGATTAGGGTGACTACAATAGCTGGCCTTCCAACCTTAAAGACTTGAAGATCATCACAAAAGATAAATTGTCAAAAATACCAAAAATCTTATAAGAATTTATACGAATTGTTTGATACCTGCAATGGCAATAAAGGCCTTTCTATCAACTGAAAACATTAGAAACCTTAAAAATGTAAAATAAATTTGGAATTGATACTCATTGTGCATGGTCTTGTCTTTCATGAAGATGCATGTGTCATTTGCTGCTAGATAAGAGGTTATTGGTCGACTGAAAATAACTTCTAATGTACATCTACCACCTGGATACTTTTGAACTAACCTATATTTACTGTGAGCCAGGATAATTTTCCTAAATACAGTAATCAATAGATGTTTACCAGTAATAATAAAAAACATGTATTTTTTTCTCTTTTTTTACTTTATTTTTAGGCTGTGTCAATGCCCACTCAATGGCCCTTCATTGTAACACTGATCTGGAGTGGTCGAAGTTTGTCAAAGCAGCAACGGATGCTGTGATGTCACCAAATGAAGAGGTCCTTCTGAAGTAAGTCAGATAATTGTTTCTCTTCATTATATGAGATAATTATGTGACAACTTTGTCTCCCTGTGGACTTGCTTTACATTCAAAAGCTTTTAAGCATTGGTTATCTGTGGTCTTATCAAACACTGCTATTTTTGTCAAATGCTACATCTATGTTTGTTGTCAGTCTTATCGGTTGGAAAATATGATGTCACAAAAAATAGCAGACATTAGACAGTATCAGGACGAGATACATGGACAAACTCCTTATTCCAGTTGGGCAAAAGAAACTAAAGCAAAACATAAACACATAAAGGCACAGCTCTGAGGATACAGACCTCTGCCAAGGTTAGCAACCAAGATAATAAAGATTTGTTTTGTTCTTTTGCTCATTTTTGAATTTCTCTTTCACTGAGCTCCAAAATTTCATTAAGTTTTTTGGAGTTTAGTGAGATAGTTAATAAACACACAAATTATGAACCACTGAGTTCACAAATTTAAATAGGATAAGATTTTAGTTTTAATTATAGGGAAATTAGAAATTCCCATAGCAATTTTTTTACAAATAAAGTAAAGAATAATACACATTGGTGATGTAAAAACACATAAGAACATATAATAAAAATCGACCCACTTCAACAGTGTGGTGAGCAGATGAAGGTCATTGTTGTGGCAGCTGACAAACCTGTTTGAACTTGTTCTTCTCAGACGTTTTCGGTTTCCACATTCATTTTTATACTGTTTTCTTGCTTTATCGTTGTTGATGTTGTTAAATGAACATAGCTAATCGTATTTTTTATTCTTATTTTCTATCTTATAGTGCTTTAAGAGGAACAGTGAGTCTGCTGCAGCACGTGTACGGGGAAGTCTACAAAAACCTGACAGCCACGTATTTAGAACATAGGATTGAAGAGGGAGATGCACTCTCTGCCCATCTCCTTAAGTTGGTTCTGGACCTGGATGGCTTTGTCCAAACAATCATTGCTCTGCCTAACCAAAATATCTCAGACCCCGCCGTCATAGGTCCACTCATCAGTGATTTGCTAGAATCCGCAGGTCTTAAACCACTTCAGCCTCTGCTCTTCAGAAGTGTTCCGGTTAATGCCTCCACAGTGCTCGATGCAGTCTTACAGATAATCAGGCTCAACCCCCAGATATTTACCTCTAGAGAAACCGACTTAGCAATGAAAGGACTGGAGCAGTTAATCATGGAGTTCCTGTCTTTGGAGAGTAACCTGACACTTTCTTTCTCTGACATCTTGAAACATAGTCTGCTAACATATTCAGCTTCCATCAAACCTGGAGATGCTGCCTTCCTCAAAGAGGCACTCTACGGTTTCACCAACCAGTCCTTTGATGAAGTCATCCTTGGTGCCATGAAGCTTCTGAAAACACTAGCTGATTCTCCAGATGGTGACCCAACCAACATAATTCTTGGATATTTACGCCAGCTTCAAGAGATTGTAACTTCTCTCTTCAGACAGCAAAAAATAGAGCATCTTCTGTCAACCAATGGCCAACTAACTGCTGCTCAAGTCACTGACCTTCAGGCAGCCGTCATGGACCTTCTTAACTTACTCAACCCTGACAACCCCCAGGGTCTCACTCAGGTTGGACCAGATGTTGCCCAGGACCTTATCATTCAGAAGTTGGTGGCATTCCTGCCGCCCTATGTTCAGGAAAATGCTACTTACTTTCTGCAGAAGTTTAAAGCTCTGCAGAATTTGGTCCCCAAATGTGAAGAAGGCAATAACTGCTTGGAAGGAGTCTCAGAAATCTTTACTTTGCTTGATAACGTAATAGAATCCATTCTTGCAGTGGGTGGAGATGCATCTGTCACAGTGACACTGACCAGCAATGTCCCCTGGAGCCAGGAGCTGGAAGAATTTAGCACAATAGTGTTCTCGCTCATGCTGTCACCAAATGATGCAGACCGTTTAGAAACATTCAAGCAGACCCTTTATTTCATGAAATTAGTCACAGAGATGCAAAACATCACAACATCTAGTCTCGAGAACATTCTGAAGCAGTCAAACCTAACTGGGTTCGATCTTCATGAAATTGCAACACTTGCTGGAGCTTCCAACCTGAACGATCTGGTGGAAAAGATGGTGAACATTTTCACTGACATGAACAAAACGTGTTCTGGACAAGAGCAGAACCTGACAATGACATCGGACTGTCTTCTTGGATTGATAAATGACATTAGCAGCTTTCTGGCAAACACACCAGCACTCCAAAACGAAACAACCCTCTTGTCTGTCATCTCAGATGTTGTCACAGAAACTCTTAGAGATTTCAACCAAGTGGACTTCAGCTCCGATCCTAACACTGCTGTTGTGCAAGCCTTGGAAACCATCTTGACCAATATCAAGACGATACTTCAACTCAACCAACAGAACAGTTCAGATATCAATGTGGAAATCACAATGGTGGAGCAACTGATACAATTGATCACTGACATGGGGCCATTTAACCGCTTCAATACTACCTCAATGGAGGACCCGCTTCATACACAGAAAGTCTTCCTGGAGCTTGTGGATTGGTATTTGACAAAGCTGGAAACGATCACCAGAAACAGTTCAGTCTCAGGGTTCCTACGTGACTTTTTCCACATCATGAGGATTCAAGTGGCAGCCCAGCTGTCTCAGATTGAGTTCACCCTGTATGTCAGTGAGAAGATTGAGCTCCTGGTGGACAGCCTTCAGTACCCATTGGATGGCGCAGACCTGAGTGTCATTGGACAAACAACAATTGAGATCATTCGCCACCTGTTGAACTACACAAACACCGTCATGGAGCTTCAGGATAACATTCCAGGCGTGAAACAGCTGCACTCTATTCAGCTTCAAATCAGACTCTACCTTGACCTCATTGAGAGATGGATAAAACAGCCAAACGTCCCATTCCTCCTTTCTAGCATGCTCCAGTGGGGAAACTCTTCAATGACGTTTTCCACCCCTGTTAGAGACCTAAACCTTCTGCTACAGACAGTAGCTCCTTTGATAGACGAAGATGTGGCAGCATCCCTCTTGACAATAACCAACATCACAGAGGCTTTCAACAATGCCATAAGAATGGCAGAGCAACCAGGTGAATTTCAGAGCGATGACTTTATAGCTGCGATCCTAAGTGGCGTCCACAGAGTCCTGCAGATCCCTGGTCCAGTCATGGGGCCCCCTTCACCTGCTGTGCAGCAGAACATCCTGGGAATTGTGGAAGGTTCTCTAACTCTTATTATTAACCAGGGCATGAGTTTTGCCTCGTCACGGAACATTTCCCTACTCATCCTGGAGAGAGCTGAGAAAGTTATCCAACAAACAATACTGAAAGACTTTGCGGAATATCTGCTGCCAATGATCGAACTGCTCACTACATACTTTGAGAGTGCATCTACATCCAGCGGGCCAGATCAGTGGAATCAAATGTGAGTAATGGTGCTGCTTTTGCTAATTCTCATAGGGTAAAATGATCACGGTGCTTGTTTTCACAGTTGAAAAAATTTGAGAAAACTTTGAATAGAAAATAATAGTTGAGCAAAAATATTTGACTTTAAAATTAGCCGTTTAAAATTGGGGTGTCTTGCTGTCTGAACCAAATATGGCCTGTCATGCAATTAATTCAGTAAAGTCAGCTGTGAACAGAAGCAATATCTTATTTTGTTTCATGTAAGGAGAAAACATCCCCTGCAGGGTCAGTTTACCACTTTGCCAATTCAGACCCTCATTCTGTCCTTTTGCACTGACATTTCATCCCAGACTTGTTCCATCCTTATTCCATTTAAACCAGTTAATTTAAACCATGTTTTTGTAGGTCAGTATTTTTCATAAATTATAAAATAAAACAAATGTGAAATGAAAATGTTTAGATATCGTTTCACTTGCATAATATCTGAAAACTTTATTTTAGTTCCGGCCCCTGTTTGATCCTTTTTGGCCCTTTCATAGAATGTGACAAATAATGACCATTGATCCTACCAAAATATTGGTAACTCTATATGGACTCCAGCAGGGAGACATTTGATGGAGTAACATAAATAGATTTCTTTTCAAGAGATTATGTGTAGTATAAAGAAAAATAATTGTTGGTTATCACAGCAGGTATAAAGCATCCCTGATAGATCATTGACAAATGGTTTGTACAAAATTTTCAATGGCAGATATGTACTTAAAGGATTAAGTTGATATGCTCTGGTATTTATTGCACTAATGATAAAACAATAAAATGTATTTGTAGAAAGGAAGCATTATATCAGACTTGTTTCTGGTGGTAAAACGAACCAAATAAAATAGTTAAAAAGAATATTTTAACATTTTCAAGGGGAATACTAATATGGAAAGTACTATTGTTTTTTTTGTTTTTGTTTTTTGCTTTGTTTTCAAGAATTTTGAATGAGATGAAGGCCATCGAGAGCTTCCTGCCTCCAAACTCCACAGCTCAATACTCCATCTCTGTCCTCATTAAGATAATGGACTTCATCTTGAACCCTGGCCAAGGTAAGTCAGCTTCTTAGTGTAATTATTGGGGAGACATCATGTTAAATCCTGATGATTTCTGATATTTGTTTGCATAATGAGCATTACAAATTTAAGCTGACTTTGTCAAAACGTTCCATATAATTTCAGGTAACATGACTCTCTGGGAGAGTTTTGAGGGAACGTCAATGGAAACTTTACCAGATCTTATTAGCAAGGTACAGTTTATGTGGTCTGATACATCTAGTGTGAGAACCTTTGCAACAAAGGTAATAATAAAGTTATGCCTAATTGTGTGTGTTTGGTTCAATGACAGCTGACCAAACTTGTGGGAATGTTCCTGCAACTTGCAATAGAAGGCCCACCTTCAACATCTATGGACAATTTCAGCCTTATTGTTCCTACTTTGGAGCAGGTGATGACTGGGAATGCAAATCAAGACACATGGGACAAGTAAGTGCAGTTATCCAGAGCAATGTACACAGATATAAGAAATAATTACCTGGTATTTTCAAGTTATTTGAAGTCATACCCTTAAAACTGATTGTGCCAGATTATGCTTTTTTTTCTCCCTCAGTTCACAGTCAGGTGAAGTTGCCTTAACCAAATGTTATTTTCTTCTGCACCAGCCTCGAACAGATGCTGGAAGGCCTACTGTCAACTTTCGAAGAAGAAGACCTTTGGAGCAACATCTCATCTGTCATGCCTGTTTTTGAAAAACTGGCTGAAGCTGTGTTGAAGAACATGCAAGCAGAGAATGGTGAGAGAACCAAGAGACACAACAGACACACACAAAAAAGTCTTCAGCCAAACTGCTGACTCGTCCAGACGAAGCCTGTTTAAATAGCTAAAAGGAATAAGACACACATTGTGCAAGTCATCTAAAAATTCGATTGTGTCAAGAGTACGCAATCTTGCCTCAAAGCCTTATTTTGCTATTTTAAACATCTACATTATTCACAAAACTAAACAGGCACTTCCCTTTCAGCAACTCTATTCACTCAGGCCAATTTTCCTAAATTATAGTTTGTTAAATTAAGGTTATCGCCACTAGGCAGGCAAACAAGCACATGGTCAAAACATGTCTAACAAGACAAAATGATTCCAGTGATTATGTGAGCTTTGACGGACAATTTTAACTGTAATCTTGACTGAATGCTCACTTGGTACACCAGTTTTATTTAACTAATTTGGATTTTATAGTTCTTTTTTTTGCAAATGTACAACATTTAGTGCAAATAATGTGTTGAAATTTAGCTCAAGTCTCACTAAAGATCTTTCTTGTCCAAATTTAAGTCCACTCCAGACGTTGTTTTCTAACTGTTTTGTTCTCCCTTGTTTAAAAAACTATTTCAACATTGGTAAAAGCAAAAAAGGGAGAACTTTGATTCAGCATTGCTCCAAATATTTCCATATCTTTTTTTGTATTGTTTTATGTCGTTACAAGTTAACCTCCAGACGCCTACCCCTACTGCAAGAACACAACTCTCATCATATCTGTGGATTTTCACGGATGTTTTGTGAAAGCGTACATAAATTAAGGGTTCTGGTAAACTTTTAGGAAGCAATTAAAAGTAAAGACATGTGAAATAGCTTTTCTACTCAAAGCACCTGGAGGTGCATTACCATCTCCTTCGCAGAGCTCTCCCTTGGGGTCACCAGTGGTGTTTTGACTTTCAAAACTGCCTCATCCCAGAATATATTCATATAGGAAATTGCACCGAGGGATTTGAAACTTTTCAAACTGTTCTATTATTTGATCTGCATGTCAGCAAAAGTTAGTATCAGAAAGGCTCAGACAAGGCTGCTTTGTTCTGTAACAACGTCCCGTTTTCTGTGAATCCTGACCTGATCTGATTTTGGCCGCCACCAGTTATGTTTATCCCAAGTAAAATAACAAAAAAAAAGACAGAAATGATGTGATGTAGGTACCTTGATAGAGGTAGTCATATTTAATCTAAGAGAAAATGAAGAAGACGGCAGCACTATCTCAATTATGCATCGGTGTTCCTACACATTATCTGATCTTTATTAATCTCTAACTAAAATGCATAAAGGAACAGTGTCTGTACATTTTTCGTTTAGCTTATAGAGGTAATTTGCATTTGTCAGTTTCACTTTTTCTTCTTCTCAGTCATGCTACAAAGCCTTCAGATGCCCCTGGTGGCCCTGATGAGAGACATTGGGCTGGCTGTGAACACCAGTCATCTCAACATGTCTGAGCTCACAGAGGGAATGCAGCTTGCCATACAAGGAACTCTTCAAGCAGCCCAGCAGGTCAGTCAGCTTTTCTGAATCTTCACAATCATTTGCAGAGTTTCCTTTTGTTATGGTTTTCTACATGTCTTTGTTTGAGGTGGACAACAAAGCTATCACACCAGCTGTCATGCATTGTTGCACTTGACAAGAGCCTTTTCTCATCCGTGTCTCACGTCTCATTTTTCAATCGCTTCCAGACATCTGATTAATGTATCAAAACTATCTTGGTTTTTGCAACTTAATCTGTCCGTTCCAACGGCTTGAATAGGCACCTGGACATCTATTTACCTCAACAAGGTTTGAGACAGACAGTATTGTCACACTGGAATATAATGTGGGGTATGACTTTAGTGGTAAACAGTCCAAATTACACATTTTCAGGATATAGAATAGCTGATGGTTGCATGCAAGCAGGAATTTATTTATAAACTATTCACACTACATATATTTGTGAAAAATCTACTCTCTAGGTAAAAAGTAAGATTCCAAAAGTGTTTCTGTTGTGTGCGCTGGTTTTGTTATCTATCTTTTTTTCTAAGAAACAAGAACATTCTGATATCAAAATAGTTTCTCTTTCACATGTGGCTGTGAAAGAGAAACCTTTTATTTTTACAATGTATAGCTTCACGAAAAAAAAAAATTCTAGCTTACCTGACTTTGAGTTGACTTTGGGTTATTTTGCCCTTTGAAATATTGAAGCCACAATTAATATATACGCAATTGCCATTTTGCTCTTTTCAGCCTGTATTTTGTGTCCATATAGTCAAGCACTGGCATATTAATTTTTTTCATAGCTACATATTTTTATGTAAAAACCAACCTCTTAGCCGCTATGTCTTCACCAGCAATAAAATGTCTCAAACACTTCTCTTGCTTTGACTTAAATTGCTCAGCATTTGAAATCATTGCCAACACAAACTGAATGGCTTTGTTCACGTCCTCCGCTTCACAACAACACCTTCTGTTCGCTGATTGACCCAGTTGAAGTTCAACCAGAAAAATCGAACTCAATGGGAGAAATCCCAGACAGAGGACTGAAGGGAGATGATAATCTAGCGGAGCTGCGTATGAAGCCAGTGCTCTGGTTCATCTTTTTAGAAATTCTAGAGATAAATTGTCATAAATACGCTCAAATCCCACGGGTTATTTAATCAAATCACATTCTGTAATGTTACCTAAAAACTTTGCATTACTCTCATTAAAAATAGCAAATTAGCCAGTATTTGTGTCAAATTAAAGTAACTCTTGGCCTCAAGGTGATGTTTGTTGGGAGTCCTACAACCACATTTTCCACATTGACTGGGTTATGGAAAATAACTCTAAATTGCTATGTGGTTGTCAGAGTGAGTAGAAATAGTTCCCCTGGCTGGTACAAATTGATTCATGGTTGGTATGAACCTTGCAGGTTATCATTTTCCCAATTTCATCCCTGCAAAAGCTGGGTACATTTGCAAATGTACAAAAATGGTGGAGGGGTGAAATAGCCAACACCCACCTGAGTCTTTTATTGAGGATAAACAAATGATATCATATGAACTTTAAGCTTTACCAACCTGCTGCTCAGATCTGAGGGGGCTTTTTAACTTTTAATGTCGGAGTGTCTTTGCCAGAATACTAATTCTGCTCTGCCATGATTAGAATTTCCCTCAGTTGCTCTGTAAAATATGAATTTTTAAGGGCAACAGAAAATTTAGTGTTACCATCTTCCTTGGTGTTTTTGTCTGAACCTGCACATTTCCTCATCAAATTAAAGTATAAAATTATTCCAAAAAGAGCCATCCTAATTATTGTCCCTATCATGATAAAACCACAATACAGTGGAGAAAAGTATGTGTCTTATCTTGCAAAACATGTAAATACCCTCAGAGTCTAGACATGGAAGAGACGACATGGCACTTTGGTGTTTGTGATTTATACAGTGCCTATGTGGGCGTATAACAGTAACACAATGAAAAACAGATACCTGTGGGAGAATTATCCCTTGTTCTTTCTAAACCTCAAAAGAAGAGGTATTAGGATCTTCCCCCTGCCACCCCCTCCTTACAACCTTTTGTGTTTTGGGCACAATGTTCTTTTTTCTGCATGTTATTAGAACATTCTATGGAACATGATATAAGATTTGTTTCTCCTTTTTTTTTTTTTTTTTTTTCCTTTGTAGGCAAGTGGCCCACTGAACTGCAGCGAGGCCCTTAAAGCCTGGGAGCCTTTTGCAGAGGCAGCAGGGGTAAACCTTTCCACATTTGCCGTCTGGTGCAGCACCGGCCTGCAGCCTGTTTTGGATGCCTACGCAGCAGCAATCACTGACATGTCCCACCTGAACATGAGCGTGAGTAGGAGCATGGCAAATTAAAATGCAAACTGCAAATGTGTTTGTAAAACACACACACACACAAAAAAAAAACAGTTTCAACACTTGGTGGCAGTGTTGTCACTCGGGAAATAAATAGTCTCGCTTCTTACACTCTTTTTTTTTTCTCCTGCATGCTTCTACACAGCACATGGGCATGGAACCAATAAGTGTGAGCTTGGCAGCTGGCAGGATTGTCAAAACATTACAGTCTCTCTATCACGTCAGCATTAACCGCACAGATGTGATACAACAGTTCATCAAGACTCTCTCCAGCCAGTTCCTGCAGCTGACAGGCATGCATTTGAGCTACGAGGGACACATATCCTGGTACTGGCTGCTCCAGGACATGCAGTTGCAAAGCAGGTCAGCCACAATTGGATTATGTTGTTCCTAACACGATGTGCTCTTTACTCTTGTTATAATTTGGGTGCTCTCAAGGAAGGAAATCACTAAACAGTGTGTTGGTGTTGAATCTGGCGATAATAATTCAACTCACTAAGAGCTGTTTTGACAGTAAATCATATCAAATTAACTTAGTGGTCTGTTTAGGTCTCCAGGAAACCCAAGCAATTTCCCCATGGTAAATGGCTCAAAAGAGAAAAATATAGAATGAAAAAAAGGAGCATAACGTTGCTAATTTTTTTTTTTTTTAAACAGAAACAACCTTTATGGGATTTAACCAACCAGTTTGAGGACAGTTTGACTGGGAACTACTGCATCAACCACCAATCCGAGTTATTTTAGTCATCAGCCAATGCAGAATCGCAGCGCAACACTTCAGTGAAGCTAATAAAGCCATATTCGTTAACTTCAACGCAGCAGCTGTAAAATGCTGTAAAATTATACATCGCGTTTCATCAGTATTACAATTCACTCACCAGCTAGCTTCCAGATGCAGCAGCCTCTCCGGTTCTTTCCTCTTTCTGCTTACAGTGTCAGATATTTTTGTTCCAACCAGAGTTTCTGTAGGTCAGATTCAGTATGCTGCTCCAACATGGGTTAGTTAAATTAAAATAGCTGCTGTACTGTGACTTAACATGTTTCCTATAATGTGCATTTGTTTCTAAACATGTTTCTGACTCAGTATACCCACAGCAAATAATGATATTCGCTTCAGTGTTCGGCTAGTGTTAGCATGTTCCTCTCTTTTTTTTGACATGACTTTATTCACCTTGCTACATATTTCAGTGCGATTCCAGCTAATCATGCTCTCAAAGATGGTCTCCTTTGAAAACAATCAAAATAATGAATGGTCATGAAGGTATTCTTTGTAGGATATTAAAGGTTATTTCATAATCATCTTTATTTAGCCATGAATCATATGTGGAAACTATTATATTTTTTACCCCAATCCAAATTCATCCTATGCATAGAAGTTGGTTACCCCATATGATCAACCTCAACCACCTTATATCACTTATTCACAACTTTCATTTCCTTTATCTGGGCATGATTTACCTTGTTGAGAAGGATGACGGTATTGTCCTTTCTCTGCTCCAGGGAACATGCACTGCTTTGAATGACTGGGAAGTTAAAGGATGGTGTTAAAGAGCTGTGTGTGATGTCTAAGCACATCAGACAGAGCAGGTCACATGACTCATGACAGAGGGAACTGCTGCAGCTTCTCTCCCACTCTGAAAGCTGTTGTAAAGAATGAAAAAACAAAAAGCTTCATTTCTAAGCTGAAAATTGGTGATTGGTGACCAAAATAACGTGCCCAAACTTTCATACAGCTTCTCAAACTGTGCTAATAAAAGCAGGCTGTAATTGTGAAAAATTGGCTGCGTAAAACTAATATCGCTGGGGAAGTGGCTGACATAATCAGAGACACAGATCAATGACAAATATTGGGAACCAGAGTTGTGTCGAACACGCCTAATACTGATTAATTAAAAGTGCCCTGATCAGGACTCTGGGCTGAAACCTGGGATCGGATCAGGTCATCCCTGACTACGGCGTAATCAGTAAAAGATGTGCTGTACAGCGGCGACAAAAGAAAACATTTCCATCGAATTCTGTTTAGAGCACAGACCTTTAGAGACAGTTTCACCTGCAGCTTACATGAACTCACCATGAACCTAATACTTAATTTGCTGTGACCACATTATCCACAAAGCACCACTGAAACCTATTTGATTCATACATAATTACACAAGGAGCTGAAGTGGTCGCATTTGCATTCAAATTGATTAATTTAACGTTGGTCTGCCTGAAAACAGGCAGGTCTGAATAGATAGTAGCTTAGCTGTGATTCAGCCTTCTTCTCCTCTTAAAATTGATTTCTCGTTTTATGTCGGCACCATTAATGAGCCGGGCATGGGGATAAGGATCATAATCTGAGTATCCCAGGAAATCAAACAGGTCTAACTACATGAGTTACAGCTCTTTAATCTGTTCCTAAGGATGAAGGGCGAGATTGGAAATGTCTTTTTTTTCCGAATCTGAAAAGGAATAAAGAACGGTTTTTGGGATTCACTGCAATAAAGAATTAGAATAAAACAAAGGTTGTTATGTTATGCAAACATGTTTACATTTTGACATTCATCAAATGTCTTCTTTCCACAGTTTGATTTCCATCAGACAGCTTTCAGATGAATTGCTTGATGAGGCTCCTTTCCTTCAGCCCTACGTTGAAGCTGCGTTCCAAGCACTGAACCACGTTCTGGTCAACTACCATCTAACTGAAAGTAGCAGCTCATCCCAGGAGCTCATTGAAGAGGCAGCAGTGATCTTCCTAAACTCTGCCAACATCACTTTGAATGACATCTTCCCCATGGTGTCAGGAAATGCTTCTGGAGTTAATTTGGCCTTTTTCGCTGACACAGTGGAAAGGATAATTAAACTGATTGTCGATACAAGGGCTTTTGGACATTCACCTGTGGTGTACCAGGCCATGGAGCACTTCCTGGCAACGAACGGCACTTACTTGACGGTGGAGCGCGTGTACGAGATGTCCGTGTGGCTGGCCTCAACCGAAACATTTGGACTGGAAATGCTGAGTCAGGCTCTTTCCAAGATGTACGGAATCGTCAGACTCCCACTGTCTATTCTGACCAGAGTGAGTGTGGACGTGGATACTGCAGTGTACGAAGAGCTGGTTGGGAACATGTTTGCAGCTTTTCACCAGTTTGTTAACACTGGTGGTCTTCCAACTCCAACGTCCAGCGGCTACCATGAAGGGAGGAACAGGCGGAAACGAGACCTGTCAGTGATGATGACAAGAGACCCTGTGAACGACATCATCGATATGTTTCAAATCGACTACCCAGCCATGTTCAGAGCCGTCTCTGTCCCTCCGACCACAGCAGACATCACGGAGACAGCCCATGTGTTGTTTTCGAATCCCGATATGAATATTGTGATGAAGGGAGCAACAAGAGGCATGCCGTGGGGCTTGAACGCTTCGCGAGAAGACACTATTGACGCCACCCTTGGGATGTTTGCCTTCTTTACTCATCCTCAAGTCTTTGAGACGTAAGTGTTCCTTAAGAGGTTAGCCAGAGAAAGAAAATCGTTGTGTACTCTACAATTTTCTCCAGTCCAAACACTGATAAGTCTAACTTATTCTTCCTTGTTTGTGTTGTATGGTAGTCTGGGTTACATAAACATTTTCGGTACTGTTTTCCTCAGGCCATCAATGGATATCCTGACAAATGCTGCTGAGATGCTTCCTGATGGTTTGCCATTTGCCTCTGAGATCAAAACCATTAGCAGGGCACTGGCAAGTGAATCTCCAGGTAATAAAAAAAAAAATGTTTTTTGGACTATTCTCTTTTATTCAGTGTATTTTATAGACTTTCATGTAAAATCCATAAAAACACTAAGAGTGGAATTGAACATTTGTGCTTTAGTATTGTCTTTGTTTTTTTTTCCCCTACATTAACATCAACACATGTTTGATGATTGCTTTTTTACTCTGGTGCAACTAGAAAAATAAGAGCTTCTTGTCCAAAACTTGATTGAGATGGCATTTATTTATTGAGGACCAAAATTCAATATGCCATTAAATAAATGACATACAATATTTGAATTAGTTAAGAAAATGACATATACATAAGAATAAAATGAAAAAAAAAATACATTTGAAAATAATGTATTCAAATTCTATGCCAATGCCTTATTAATGTAATTTTGAGCCACGTTGCTTAGAAAAGAGATCTTTGTTATATAGATTAGATTATATAGGAATATATAATGAAACGATCCAGTTTGTACCAATCCAATCCCATAATCCAATTTGACTATGTTTGTTAGACAATCCGGTCAAATTCAGATGATCATGTGATGTCAGCTGGTAAAAAGCTAAGAAAGCCCAGGCAACTGCATGGATAAATAAATAAAATACCCCCATCTGAGCATGCACGTAAATTCAGATTTGGCTACTTATTCCCTCACTTGCTGCTGCTAC